TATATTAATTATTTTAACTATAACATACATANATACATACACTATATATATACATANATATATATATATAATATATATATATATATATATATATATATATATATATATAGGATTGGTGCAACCACACTGCATATGTGCAGCTGAGAGATGCCATGGGAATTTATTCCGCTGATGGCGCCCTTATGACTAATTTATGGATAATGCAGCAACAACAATTACGTCGCATTTTTTATTGTTTGCATGGTGCTTTGTGCTACCTGTGAGCCTATGTGGAAATACATGTTGGTCAAGCACGATGCTACTGACGACGGCACCGTATACAGAAAAAGACTTGTGCTTTATGCCAACCGGTACAGCGCGTTGCACTTCGATTTGACACGCTTGTAGTTAAAGCGCGAACACAAATATCGCGTCAACATGCTCTACCCTACTAGATTCAGATGAAAATCTGGTGCAAAACTAAAACCCCCCCCCAAAAGAAAAAAAAGATCGGACTCACAATTCAGTGAGCGAGCTGCACTGTTCAAGAATGAGAAGCAGATGCTAGTTGTGAGACGTGCTTTATAGTCCACCACTCCAACCAATAGTAAACGATTCCAATTAACACAGCGACACTCAAGAAGTGAAGCAAACAGAACATTGTCAACTTGTATCTAAACCTTGCTCAGTCATACAACCTGCTATGGGCATGAATATACGAGAATACTATATGCTACCAGCCGGCAGGGGTGGTAAACACGCTGCTGTTAAATCATTTGCGGATGATATCGATGGCAGATGATGGAGTGTATGAACTACAGTAAAGTGCCCATGAGCTCACTGCCAGAGGAGTTGTATTGTGTGCGACACGAGGCCACTAGATATCTACATACACAATAGCGGCCTAGTAAACAGGTAGTAAGTCATCGCACCTTTCTAACATATAATATTGTACGCGGAATTATTGAACTAAGCGGTTTAGACAGCTACTACAAGTATTATCCTATAGATCATGATCAAATTTAGTTGCCAAATTTGAGTACTATCCGGTCGTGTTTGTAGCTAACATGTCCGCGAACTCTCCTATCGGTTAAACTGAGTGTATCGCAGCCGATTTACCATTGCAGATATGCATATAACGATCGTGCCCTCTAATTGATTGATTGCCAATAAATACAATATTTACATTCCGCATAGTTCCTACAGCACATCCTCCATCTTTCCAGTACTGTGCTCGTACATAGTTCGCGCTCGTCTGTATAGTTTGCTAACGCATTAAAGATGTTGCCTTCCAGTCTGGTCTTGTGTACACTTTTATCAAATACTCTATAACATCATTGAGGTAGTGCACGTTTACCTCCCATCTTCTGCATCGTATTCGCGTGTTTATTCGACAAGAAATGCCTGGCGGTGCTTAAGGTACAAGGTATGCATTTTGTCTAACCGCTTGAACTGTATCTATTGAGCTACGGGTGAATGAGCTTCTGCAGGTTCAGTGGAGTATGAATATAGACTGTGTCACTATCTACCACTATTGTTGAGTTTGTAATTATATCGGGTGCCCATCTTCGACACACTAGCTAGTGGTGTGTAGGAATTTAGTGTTAGGGAGTTTTCCATCGGTTCCACAACTGGTGTAACGCTGTTTTAGGAACGTCATACATCCGAAACCATCGAGTATGCGACCCTGCGTATGAGTTAGTTGTATAAGAAACCTGTTTCTAAATGTAATTCTCTCTACTTGTACAAACATGTTGAGTATGGCATACCAGTGTTTTGTTCCTCTGTTTATTGCTATTATGTGGGCGTCATTTCGTATACCACTAGTCGTGTACATAGCATGCCTGCTTGCGAGCTCCTTTCCGCCAACCTTGTCGTGTTTACAGCTATCATCAAACAGATCGTTCTATACATATCTACGAATTCACATACACAGCCTTTCCAAATTTTTGATCGTGTAGATATCTAAGCCCTAACCCGATTTTTACTTCAGATGATCGGGTTTATAGCAGAGTATATGTTGCAATCTGAGTTAAGTACTACACTCTCTCTGTGTTAACTACCGCGGCCTAGTGGTGTATGTATCCTGATGTATGCGGTAGAATCAGTCAGGCGTATACAGCTATCGTGTATGCAAATATAACGTGTTCGTAGCTTTCGTGTGTGTACGAGTTCAGATAATACACGATGTAATATAACAATACCATCACGCGAGCTTCCCTACCGTTGCATTGTTGCAAAGTAGTATTCTATTTGCGGTATTCACTATCATATGGTCAGAAGCGTCTAATATTCTCATATCGCAGCCTTCCCTACAACTCTATCCTTGCACAGTTGCATTAAATAGGTGGTTTTCACTACTGTCTGGTCATGTTCGAAACCGCCGAAACAGTGATTTCCTGCAGCCCTATGCATACACACTAAATCACCCTATCAATTTTACAATTCCTGAGCTTATTAGGGAACAACATGTTCCGTAAGCTCTCAATCACGAAACCATCTGTTCTATGCGTTTTTTTACATATCTGCGTATATGTGGAGCATTTTTTACGGGCCTAAGAATGCATAAAGGTACTGTATTACGGTCCCTTACTGCCACAGCTGTATATATTGCAAACACTGCTCAATAGATTTAGCATGAGTGCAAACTCTGTGCACTATAAATTGTACACACTCTTCTTTGTCACCCTAGTGACGTATATAGCTGGTACTGCCGTACAGATTTATTCGCTATACTCTAGAATACAGGTATATTGCATACACTCTTACATACCGCTCTAGTAGTGTGTATAGCTACCGTTGATATACGGGTTTAATAAGCATAAATTTATTCGGAACATGTATCTTGTCCGTACGTCCCAGTAGTCTACATAGTTGTTTTTAGCCATATAATTCAATGAGAACACGGATACACTCTTCCATTCCCTCTAGTGGTGTATATAGCTACGACAACCCTACGGATTTAATCACAAATAGTTTCGTAGCAAGCACATTGCATACATAATTTCTTACCGCTCAAGTAATGTCTATATCTATCATTCTTATGCATATTTATCTAATTAATGAACACACAATCACTTTGTACATATCCTTACCGCTCTGGTGGTGTAAATGGCTGCCATTGCACCGCTGGCCGCCCCTATGGCAGCGGCCACAGCTGCTGCTGCGCCTCCGCCAGGTGTGGGCTTCTTCTGTGCTAGCAGGTGTGTCCACTCGCCTATACTGCTCTCGGCAGTTTCCCCCATACTCGACTTCGTTTACTCTGCAAGATAGCTTTGTTTACTTTATTAATCATTCACTCTAACACAACAAGGCTCAGATAAATAAATATTTATATGATTTTTCATAGTCTTCTTCTATAAAATAAAAGATTGTAACTATTGTTCTTTAATATAAAAAATAGGTCCCTTTGCAGTTTTTCTGTTTTTGACATCACGCCGTGGTCCACACTCCACTGGCCACTACTCAGAACTTAGACCTTAGGCGCATCAGGGCTCAGGCCCAGGGCCTCTGGACGGGGGGCTCGTGAGTCGTGAGTCGTGACTCTCGTCTCATCGAAAATTGCCAAAATATGAGAAAGTTAGAGTTAGGGTTTACCACCAATGAAAATACTCGTAAAGACCAAAATATGAGACTATTTTTCTTCGTGAAAATTGGCTTGTGTATTTTTAAAGAACAAGTATATTTTAGAAGAAGGTTATGGTTGAAATAAAGCAAAACAAAATTTTCATTGTATTAGGAGCGTGACAGACAGAAAATGAATCTCAGTCTCAAGGGTATTAGTTTTTAATAATAAAAATGAGTTGTTCTAATTTTAGGAGGCTATGAATGAGTCTCGTTTTTTTTAATGTTTACAGTACAACGGTCAAAAAGTCGTACTCATCACTGCCAGTCAACGACTGTGACATATATACATACATTTTAATAGTTTTTTTAACAAAAATATAAAAACGGAATAGAATGTCCATGGCAAATACTTATTTACATAAATATGGGCGAACACATCTGCATATGTAGTCTCCTGAAATAAGTGTTCAAACGCATACCTTATATTATCCATATTTGCGCTTCTGTAGACACTAGATATGCAAAGCAGTTTGCGAAGATGACATCCAACTACTCATACGCTATTGTATGCTCCAGCAACCAGAATCGAAGTATGGAAGGCCATTGCTTCTTGATGTAAGTTTAATTTAATCTTGAAGTTTACGTTCTCTCAGCTCAGCCTCCACATTGCCACAGCACAGTGCCAATATGCAATGACAGGTAGAGTGTAACGCATACACATGTACATAAAACCATACATCCCTGCTGATGTGTTGGTTTATGTACACATATATTGATATTGCTATCTGCACTAGGGACATGTTCTGGAGCTGACATGCGTGTAAAAATCGCTGAAGCCATAGAGCGAGCAACACCTGTCGCACCTCTAGAGCTGGTGTTGATTGAGTGAAACGCAATACCGCCTTCACTCGGATACGTCCCTCGCCTACATGCTTTGGTAACTTGGAGACGGTTCACTACTTCTAGGTGTAATTGATAATCCTAGCGAGAGGCAAGTTGCACTGATGTAGTTTATTAGGTGGAACCATCACAGTCAATACGATAGACACTTAAGTAGATAGGACAAGGACAATTCATTAGATATAACCAGAACTTTCAACAGATAGAACCGGCACTTCTAATGTATACCACTGTGAAACAGTAAAACAGCCAAACGCTTTGGCTGTGGCCCCTAAATAGGGACAAACTCTCTGAGTTCGATTTTGAGTTTAATGTTTGTTGGTGCTATGGGTGTTAGCATGCTATCAAAATATTGTCGAACATTCTGCGTTCCCAACAGAGGCTCGCATAGTATTTTGCAAGTCTTGACCAGCTGTATGTAAAGTATTACCGATAACAAACGCTCGTTGCGATTTGGCTGAGGTATCGTTTCGGTGGGAAATATTCAAGGGTAACTTGGGTATAGGAAAAGGAGCGCATTGACTGTGTTTCGATTGTGTCACCTACGCTACTACATTTTCTTCTAATTTCAGGCGAATATCAAACTCTGCATAACTTTTCTGTGAAAACGTCAATATTCCAGTCCATAGTTAACATACCGCAGAGAGATATTTATATTATTATACATATACTACTTTTCAAACTATATGTATGTATATTTTTAGCACGATATGATGCTCGTATACTTTTATATTGCCATATATGTACCATATCGTATATACACATCACACTTTTAACACAAACACATGCGTGTGTACACACACACACATATATATATATATATATATATACTACCTATATATATATACATATATACCTATATATATATATTATATATATATATATACACGTCTATATACGTATATATATATATATATATAGATTTGTGTATGTATATATATTTAGATATATAGATATGAAAGCATATCTGTATATGTATAAATGTATATATATATATATTTATATATATATATACACGTCTATATACGTATATATATATTTATATAGATTTGTGTATGTATATATATTTAGATATATAGATATGAAAGCATATCTGTATATGTATAAATGTATATATATATATATTTATATATATATATATATATGTAATATATATATATATACATTAACATATACGTATATATACATATACACTCACACACTCACACACACATCTATATATATATATCTATATATAAATATATTATTGTGATATGCATTGTTATATATATATATATATGTATGTGTGTGTGTGGATATGTATTGAATAGATATATATATATGTGTGTATGTGTGTGTTCGTATGTATTTATATATATGTACATATGCATGCACACACAATATATGTATATATATATATATACATGCGTGTGTATATATGCCGTTAGTATGGGTGTGTATATTGATAAATATATGTATTTACGAAGAATTTACATAGACATATATATATGTATATATATACATATATATATATATATAAATATATATCAATATATATATACATGTTT